AGTGTTTGTCGGCCGTACTCCGCGTACTTATCGGGACTTGTTTGTGTAGTGTATTAACTTCAGACGGTGAAACAACGCCCGTACCCAGGACGCTGTCGTGCTCGGAAAGGAGGAGGAGAGAGAGAGAGAGAGAGAGTAGCAGCACGGCTGCTGCACTCAACAAAGGGGGTCCCGGTGCTTCATCACCGTACCCCTACCTTAAACGTTCTACACCATCTGCGTCACACTTGTACGTACGGGTAATGTATCCACCATGTCCGTAGACCCACGAACAATGGGGGCCCTTCATTTGGCCAACAACCCGGTCACCACCCCCAACTCTAAGCACATAGACATTTGACACCATTTTATTCGGGAGTGGGTGGCACGCAAGCAATTTAAGGTGGTCCACGTTGCATCGGCTTTGCAGCACGCCGACTTTATGACCAAACCACGGCACAGGGCGGCTTTCTGCTTTCACCGTGATTTTGTGATGAACATCAAGTAACGATTGCGATTTCTTCTTTCTTTTATGTGAGGTTTTTGCGTTTGTATTTTCTTGCTGTCTATGCATTTGCAATCATGGGGGGGGATGTCATGTGTGATCATGATTATAACAACATATTCGCCTGATTGAGAGCGAAGTATCTGATTGAGAGCGAGAGCCAAAAAAATTGAAATTTCGGGTCCAGACGCCTCTTGCCATTTCTTGGCAAGTAGGGGACGGGCTATTCCAAGAAGCGGTGCAAATTGAAGGTCTCATCAGCAGCTTCGCGAGCATATGCGTGTCATCGTCATCGGATGCTGCAGCGAGGAGCTAGACAAGTTGCTAGATTTGCCCAGATTGGCTATTTCTGCTCAAACTGTTTCAGGGCGGTATCGCGTCGGGCGGTGGGCTCTGCTGTAGCTTCTGCTCCCCGCTGTAGCTCCACAACGAGAGACTCCCACAGGATGACCAGGGTAGCGGCTTGAAGCTACGGGCTAGCCCTTCAATTCAAGCTACACAGCAAGCTCCACCTCTCAGTGGTAGTCCGGCTACAGCGTATCGCGCAATCTCGCTCTCAATCAGATGCTACGCTCTCAATCAGGCGAATATGTTGTTGATTATAGAGTGCATGCATATCAATCGATATCTTGTTGTTTTTCCTATGTTTTTGGATATGTCTCAGCAGGGGATTGTTCACGTAAAGATATAACGTTGGGATGATAGTTTTTTGGGATATCACAGCAGGGGGGCTGTTTGCATGGATGGATGTTTTTGGTTTTTTTTCTACCGTTTCTTGGACAACAGCGATGGTATCGTGTTTGGATGTGGTCGCTCGTCAGAGGCCGAAAGAGAAGAAGGTTGACTCAAGACCTTGGTGCTTGAGAGTGAGAGACATGCGGTAGGCCACACCATCGCCATGCAGCATGTCTGTCAATACATTCCATCCGCGTACCCCCCGGAGGCCCCGTAGACAGTATACTCTGCCGAGCACCCCAAACAGCCCCCCTGCTCGGTACGAGATACTATCTACGAAATCCCCGACACGACTATCATTGCCAGACAAAACGGCAGACAGAAAAACCAAAACCCCTAACAATAAATCATCCACCATTCCAATCCAAACGACTCTGCCAATAGAACATGTCCCACGAAATCGCCGGATTTTCCAACAGAACACGTCCTGCAAAGCTTCCAAACCTTTTTGATGTCAAATTTCTACCTCGAAAAGGTCTGTCAAGAAAAACAAATCACCCTCTCGAGAAAAGTGCTCTACCCAATTCTCAAGCAGTCAAAACACGAACAATCACCCTTG